AAAAACAACATTGTCAACGATTTAAACAAAACCGAAATACCGAAAAATATGAAATAAGACCCACAATCCGAACATAACAAGATTGAAACTCGAAAACAAGCACAAGCAACGGCTCAGTAACTATTTCGGCATCCTCTAAACACATAGCCAAAGGCATGAACATTATTTCATCAAGATAAAAAAGAACGATATCGCTATGATTAATAAAGGGACAAACCAAAGCTTTAAACAAGAAACATCACTCATGAAACTTAAGAAGACTGTAAACAGAGAAAACATGCTTGAACATACATTAAATCAACTTGGAAATGTGACATACGTTTCACCCATTTCCGAAAATATTAAAAACAAAAAAGGCAACTTAGGCTCGAAAACAAATCATGTAAGATAAGCTAGTAACCAACAACGAATATGTCATTATTCAGCGCTCATTGGAATCGAGGAGAAGAAAGGACAAAGGCCAAGAGTTATTTTACCTTGTTGGGGCAGCGAACTGGAAACGATGAACAGGGGACGACTCCACCACTACGTAAACTTGACCACAAGCAGCGATTAAGAAGCCTGGACAGAATGCCGAACCCAAAATACTCAAAACTAGTTCTCTTTTCCCAAAGTGTATTTTGTATGTATTTTAGCTATTTTGCTTAAATTGATCTTAGTCTTTTGCTCTAAATTTTCCAACCCTTTAAATGGAGAAGGAGAGACATATATATAGGGGAAATTCCAATTCACGTTTTGAATGAAGAACGGATAGGAACAGGGGCAGAAACGGAATTCTCCTCCGAATTCAAAGTTCAAAATCCTTCTTCCAGAAACAGGGAGCAGCTGGGACGAGATTTTCTCCAAAATTCCAGAAAATCCGGACAAGGCAGCAGGCTAGAACGAGTTGGTGAGGGCAGACGCTTGCTTTTCTGTGGATTCTGCCGAATTGCTGCTACTACTTTGACATTTTTGAATGCTGGAGAAGAAGGAGAACGTGGGGGGTCATTGGTTACTGCTGTACGTATGTATAAATGTTTTGAATGTATGTATTGTATGTTTAGGAATTAAAAAGGAAAAAAAAAGGGTGGGGTCAGTTAGTGTATGCTGTTGTATTATTATAATATATTGTTGGGTCGGTTGGTACATGCATGTATTGTATTGTTTTGGATATGTTTGGATCATTGCATTGTTGTATTAAAGGGTTGTTATTAATTGTAAAAAAAAAAAATGAGTGGCGTCGGTTGAAAGGGGGTTAGAAAAACTTAGCCAATTAGATTTTAGCTAAGGTAGATTCGGCTAGTAATTAAATAAGATAAATTGATATTAATTAATTAACGAGCTTCTTAATCTTAACAAAATAAAATAATTAACTTAATTATAAACTAATTAATTTAAAACTATAGCCATAACTTAAGTAACGTAACTTAAATAAAATGTGCTTTTCAAATCAACAAAATTAAATAAGACAAAATAACATAAAATAAGAATAATTAAACTAATAAAATAAATAACTTATACTTTAAACCAAATTAATTTAATTGAATATTTAATTAAAACAAACTCTTTTTGAGACGATTTTTGAATATTCATAAAATGTGGTAATTAGACACATAATTATATAATAATTTAATTATAAACTAATTAACTAGAAATATAAGCTATTAATTAATTTAAACTAAATAACCAAATATTTAAATAAAGCTAAAACC